ACTATTTTTCCCCCTCATTCTTCTTCCTATCATTATTAATATATTAGGTTTAATAAAGAAAAAGGAATAATGAAAAGCATTATTATTTGTAAAAGTTATGTTGCATTATATACAGAGCGTAAAATAAAAAAAAGTGAAAAACCTGAATAACTCTTGATTTAATGATCGGATTTTAACTTACTAAGATCTCAATCTAAATGGTTTGAGGGCCAAACTTAAAATATGCTAATTAGTTGGTGCAGAAGATATTTTTTTAAGTTATGAAATCAGGCAAACGTGCTTCCTCTACCTACATATATACATATGTTGTTGTTGTTAAATTTGGATATTTGTCTCTCAAAATATGGATGGTATTCACAATATGAAAATTAAGATCTCAAAAGTTTTTTTAGGTTGAAAGTTTAGGCTCCTTTATTTAATTGCAGTTTTCATGCATTTCGTCATGTCTCGAAAATTTTTGAAACGAAGTGAAAAATTTTCTCACCTAATAATAAAATTCATTAACCTGAAAATAATTCCCTGTCAAAAATAGTTTTTTGTATGTTTCTGGTGAATTAATGTTCTATCATGAGTTAAACTAAAGTGATGAAATCACAATGAAAGTGTTATTTGAATCCAACAAATATCGATAAAATAATCCTTATTTAGGATAGATCAGGATTATTTTCATTTGCATAGCTATTGTTTGACATGTCTTTGGGTAATTTTAATGAGATATAAATAATTTTAAGCTATTATGCTGTATGCACATTATGCAAAATAAATTAGTAAAATAAAAGAGAACACAGAATTCATTAAATCTGAGGCGTAAAAACAGTTATCTTGCTCAGTTTTATCAAACTAATTATTATTAAAAAAGACATGATTTTAAATGCTACTAAAAATACAATAACTGAATTATATAACCTTCAATATTGTTGATGAATATTATTGCTATAAGGACCAATGTAACCCATGTGGTCGGCCAAGGTATCCCAGCCTTAGTATATGTTGGTTAATAAAATAAATAAACAAAATGAAATTAAAATTGAAATGACGAATTCTAATGGAATAGCTATTATATATTAAACTATCTCAATAATTGCTACCAGAATCCACATTTTTTAAAATGTGAAATAATGCTTATTTACTTACTTTTCATTAAATTAGATAGAAACTAATATATTATTTAGTAATTTAAATAATTAGGAAAATCTGATCTAAAAACTTTATAATCTTACTAATAACACATTTATTGTTTCGTATTAATTTTGTTTACAGAATTTAAGCTTTAACTAATCTTATTCGCATTAAATAAATTTAGTAAGAAATATTGTTCGTCACCTTTTGAGATACAATTCTAAAAATAGATGGATAATAAAAAATTGTAAACTTCAAATTTATGTTAAAAAGAGCAATAAAATAGTAAAATAAATAGCACAATATTAAAAAAAAAAGAAAAACACAAAATTTTAAACTATGCTAATTCTAAAATTTTAGGAAATACTCTCTCATGAATTCAACTAACATTGAAAACATCAAAATAATATATGAGAGAAAAACTAAAAACATGGATTTTAATAACTTTTATTTAATTATATAACGAACTACGAATCACTGATCAATGTGAACAAAATTAAAACTATTTAACTAATGATAATAATTGAAAAAGCAACAGTAAGGTAAGGAAACTCTACATAATTGTATCTGAAATTGGATTAACAATAAGTTAATTAAAATACATATCTATAAAAAATAACATTAAATAGTAAATACTACTTACTGAACATGATTTAAAAAAAAGAAAACGGCACGTGGTGGATACCAACACCCCAGGAGTGTGACGTCACGTGGGAAGAGCCCATGCGCGGGAGAAAACTGGCTCTCACTATCTCCTACTTGAAGCCGGAGCATTTCAACCATGATTTTTCCTCCCAAACTCCTTTTGTGCTAGCAGTTTTTCCTTGCAGTTCGAAGCGAAAGCTGTGCGTGAACAGTGTTGCCAGATTGGGCTACAAGTAGCGGATTGGGCTACTTTTAAAAGCCCCCGCTACTGAAAATTGAATTTTCGCTACTTGCTACTTTTTGGGCTACTTATTATTTTTCGAACGCTACAAATCTTAAATATGCGCTACTTTTTTTCCTTACTGAAATATATATATATTTTTTAATTTTTTCCCTTCCCATTATAAAATGATTCTGAAAGTTTGCAGCTTCTTTACCATTTTTAAAAAGGACATTTTTGTTGTTGTTGTTGAAAACGTTCTCGCTTCAGTTTTGGATTCTTGATATGTTTTACTGATGGAGTCTATAATCTTTCCATGTTTATGTTTCAAATCGTAGACTCGGGAAATCGCAAAGATATATATGGAAAAATGCACGGAGAGTATGATGGGGAAAATGTTTTTTAACTCCAACTATTATTAATCGTTTATCTTCTGGAGAAAAAAAATCACGTTACTCGCTTTGAAACTCAGAAAAATTAAATCCAAAGTCATTTTACCTGATGAATGAAAATAGTTGTTGTGAATGACAATGAGTTTCCAAAAAATATCGTACTGTTAAATGCTTTTTAGTGAATTCATTTCACTTTTGTAAATCACGATCTATTCACAGTTGCACGAAAAATAGGAAAATTTTTATATCTCTCTAGAGCAGGGATGGGCAAACTACGGCCCGCGGGCCAACTGTGGCCCG